GGGAGGAGCTGGCCTGCTCAGGGGCACTTGGCTGTTCATGGCTAGGAGAGCTCCGCCAGCAAGCGAGATGCCTTCTGGACCTAGATGAGCCCAGAAGTGGGGCATTCTTGGGGGGAAGATGAAGAAACTGCAATAGCACGTGAAGGCTCCCAAGCTCCAGGCTCTGTTACTAAACTTGGCTGGAAATATCCCCGTGAAACAACGTACCAGTGAAAATGTTGATTTGATGGACCCAGCAGTCACATCCAAAACACTTCTGTTCAAGGAGCTGTGGTGGGCTCTGAGGTGGCCTTTCTACGCTGCTCTTCCTGGGCTGCTGGCCAGGCAGATCACTCTCTGGGGCTGACCCAAAGCACAGGAACACTTTCTAGGGTGGGACCTGGTGGGTGATGCTGGAACAGGCAGCCACGTCAAAAACTCCGTGCTCATACTGAGACAGTGACGTGATGGCACCCAGGGAACCTCAGAGGCAGAAGGGAGCATGCGATTTAGTCACGCTTCCTCTGGGTATCCCCTCCTAACACAGTCTGTTGGGATGGAGGGCTGGGGGAATCTTTGAATTATTCTGATTGTCCTCGCTTTCTTGTCTGGTGCTTCCCTGTCGTGGCAGTAGTATGCTTGTTGAATCGGTTAGACTGAGCTCTCTGTGAAATACGGAGCTCCCTGTCTGTGTACACAGTGAAGTGCATACCAACTGCTGTAAGACAGCAATATTTCTGACCTTTTCTGTTCAAGTTGACAATACCTGTTTATAATCAGTAACAGAATATAACGTGGTACAGTCTTTGCCGGATTTACAGCCTTCAGTACGGCTGAGTGCATGCTGTCTTCGCTCTCCCAAACTCAACAGACAGGATAACTAAGCTTTCAGCGGGATGTTTATTGAAGCAGAAACGTGTCAGTGATTAACAGCGTGTGGTTCAGTTTGAAAATCAATACAGACTGTATAAGAGCCAGTAGAGGGGCTGCTAATGCTGTAGGTCTGAATCAGCAAGATATGTAAATGTGCATCCACCTAACATGAATTTAGCAGAGAGCATTTAAAAAAATCAATAACTAGAGCATTAAGGCCAAGTTTACAGGAAATTGCAGGAGAATCGTTCAGGGTGGCACCACAAAGTATTGAGCACCAAGAGGCAATGGCAAGGAGCTGTCTAAGGTCAGTATCCTCAGGAGGGGTCTTCAGAGCTGCCACCCCTCGCAAATGGTCCAGATGTGGAAATGCCTCCTAAGCCAAAGGAAATGAAGAGACAACGATCAGATATTCTCCAGAGCTACCTAGTCTGAGTGTATGTCAGTGTGTGCCAAGACACCAGCCTCTTTAATTTCTTAATCTAACAGAACAATACTGAACAGTTGTAAGAACCTGTGGCAATCTGAGGAGAGCGGCTTTAGCTGGACTTGCCCAGGTCTGGTGGGGCTGCAGGGATTTGCTGTTTTCCATTTTTGTGAAACTAAAGCCTGCCTGCGCTCCTAGGACTTCACAGGAGCACAGTTAAAGCTGACCAAGCGTGTGCCGTAGGGCTTCCTCGGCCATCCGTGGGCAGTAGCAGGTGAACAGCTGAGCACAGGATAAGCAAGGCTGTGAACTTGTGATGTCTCCAGGGCTCTGTGGCACATTTTGCATCTGGGCTAAACGAGAAAGTCATGAGCTACTTTGCATTTGTCGTGAGGCTCTCTGAGCTGAGAGCGAGTCTGCAGCCAGCTACTGCAGAAAAGTTGGCAAGTTCATACCTTTGCTTACCCTTCACACAATTTACCTTACGTTATTCACCTTTACACTTTTACGGCCGTAGAACTGGGTTTTAGAAAGGTGGCTCAGCTGAAGGTTGCTAGAGCTTTTGCTTTGTACTTTTCAGTAGTGAGGATGTCTGTGTGTGTTACCCTCCCAGGTGCAGCTGGGACTTGTAGCCCGTGGTGCCCAGCTCTTTTGTCCAAGAGGAAGGAATAGCCCTGCTGTAAGGATGTTGTTTTCAGGCATCAAGAGAAAAATAATTGGGCTGAAAAAGTTAGAACTATTTGTTAATTCAACAACTATATTAAAACAACAACCCCTTGAGATACATACTTGCAGAACTACGGTGCTGTATAACATCACTCTGTGAAATACTTGGCTGCATTTCACGCTCCTATAAATGCCAGCAGATCACTGTATATATTTGCATATATTTTTCTATCGGCCAAAAGTGTGCAGCTGAGATGATGATGAACTCTTTGGGTTGTTCACATTTAATCATAATCAGCTGATGGAAAACACAGTGGTGATTTCACATGGAAATGAGAGAATCTGCCCGTTGATAGGACATGCTTGGGATGCCGTGAGCTGGGAGGCAGCAAGCACTTCCACCATTAACAGAGGTCTGAAATGAGAGTTGGAGACAATTTGCTCATACTGGAGTTTTCATTGCGTCCCTTCCATTTTGCAATAGCGTAATTCAACAGTTTGGGTGTTGAGTGCTACTGTCTACTTAAGGTATTAACTGTGTTGTGACTTGTTGGTAGATGCAGGGCACGATCCTGAATCACAGAATCACAGAATAGTAGGGGTTGGAAGGGACCTCTGTGGGTCATCTAGTCCAACCCCCCTGCCCAAGCAGGGTCACCCACAGCAGGCTGCACAGGACCTTGTCCAGGCGGGTCTTGAATATCTCCAGAGAAGGAGACTCCACAGCCTCCCTGGGCAGCCTGTGCCAGTGCTCCGTCACCCTCAGAGGGAAGAAGTTCTTCCTCATGTTCAGACAGAACTTCCTGTGCCTCAGTTTGTGCCCATTGCCCCTTGTCCTGTCACTGGGCACCACTGAAAAGAGCTTGGCCCCATCCTCCTGACACCCACCCTGCAGATATTTGTAAGCATTTATAAGGTCCCCTGTCAGCCTTCTCTTCTCCAGGCTGAACAAGCCCAGTTCCCTCAACCTCTCCTCGTAGGGGAGATGCTCCAGTCCCCTCACCATCCTTGTAGCCCTCCGCTGGACTGAAGCCAGATGTGTGATTGCATCAATATTGTTCACACACTTTTCAGACGCGGGATTGAGTGAGCAAAAACAATCGCCTGCTGTTTTGCCTCCTCAGGCACCACAGCAACTGAAATGCTGCGCTTAAAATGATCGTTGGTTTTTCCTCCTGTCCCTTTGTTCCCTGTGGCACAGCCTGTCAGACCCTCCTAATGTACAGCTCCACGGGTGCCAGCCACCGGCGTGGAAGGAACTGTGCACGAGATCTGGCGGCCGATGCGGAGTTCCACAAGCTGTCCGCTTTGTCACTTGGCACGCCCCGAGACAGCCTGTCCGTGGCCAGCACGGCTCTCTGCGAGGGGACGCTATGCACTGGTCTCCCACGGCTGGAGGCACGCTGCAGTGCTCTATGCTGGTAGTGCTGGGGAAATACAGAATGCAATAATGGCACGTGAAGTACGGAGCCGCGTTCCCTCTGCTGTTGTAACGTCGGTAGCAGAATCCGTATCACTTGAGAGGAGAAGGAAGATCAAGCTTGAAATAATAGTTAAAGATTTGCCCTTGCTGGTGGCCATGGGAGGTCCTGGTAGACTTGTCAGGACTGCCAAAAGGGTTGTCTGAACTTAGACATTTTTTTTTTAGGCACCTAAATAAATAATGTAACTTCAAAACAGCTGAGGAGCCAGTAGATTTCATTGACTACTTATTTATCCTACTTTATTAGACCTTTGGCTTGTGCACACGCTATTTTTCAAATACTGGGAGTAATCCTTTGATGTTCACCATTACTTGAAAAGCTCCAGGATACCTCTGCACCACCGGTGAGAAGAGCACCTAGAGCCGGGAGCTGACAAAGCTGCGTATTCCGCAGATCTCCTGTCTTAGCTGCTTATGCCCTGTGTAAACAGCAAAGTAAGGGGATGTTGCAGCAGCGGTGCTCTGTGTGCTCTACACAGGGGCAGGCAACTGCAGGAGGCGTAGGCCGTGAGATGAAACAGCACTGCTGTGCCCGCTGTGCGTCACATAAGGTGATGAACAGCTGCATCGATACAGTCTTTTTGATTAAAACTAAAGCGCTATTAGCCAGTGTTGTCTTGTAAAAAAAATCAGCTTTTCTTCTGATCAGACCAAGCCAGGAAGAACTTGAAGAGTTCCTCCTCCGCAGTCCAGATCCTTCACAGTTCTTTCATTGCGCCCCCAGCTCTGATGCTGAGATCTGACAGTGTGCTGTCAGCGTGCTGGCCAGCAAGCCAAGAACTGGCCTCCGAGTGGAGACTGGAAATGCCAAGTCTGCTGTCGGGTATGCTGGTCCGTTACAGAGCATGTCACTCATCCCAGACAATTCACAGATCGACTGCAAGTCTGCAGTATTTGTATATCATGCGTTAAAAAAAGGCAGGGGAAGGCTTATCATCTCTAAATAACATGATTTGATTCACTGAAGCAAAAATGTCATCTATAAATAAGATAATTTCATTCACTAGAGCCATTGCAATACATTTTTACAACAGGATTGAGAGCCTTTTTTATTGATCGCTTCGAATCGATTGTGTTGTTGCATACAAATTGGTACCAAACATCACCCAATCACATTTATGTCTCTCCTACGTCAGTGCACGTGGAGTGTTGTTCTGTATCATCGCGTGTTTGTTTAATCAAGCTAATATTTCATCTGCCTTATTGGAGTGATACTGTCATGAGAACAAACCCAAATTACTAAAAACGATCAACCCATTCGTTTCTGATCAAAGAGCTCACAGAGGGATTTAGACTTTTTTAAAGCACACAGATTCGTTCTCTTTTCTAAACATTAGATTTTGCAGAAAGAAAGGAAAATCTTCAATTTAGGCGAAAACATCTTTTGGCACCACAGAATTCACTTCCAAGTTTCAACTTTCTGTCCTTGAGAAGAGCTGGTAGAACCGGCTACGGAAATCACTTTGCTTCCACAGGCTTTTTGCATCCTCTGCTTCACTTGCCTTTCTGAGGACTCCATGTAGAAGACCTTGCTTTCTCCAACTCAGACAATCATCCCAAAACCCTAAGGAAATGGACTTCTCTGGCTGTGCTGTAGTAAAGAGAGCGAACACGACTGCATACCACCCCAGGGAGACAGCGTTCAACAGCTCCTCAAATTTGAGCGACGCTGCTTTGTACTATTTGCTGGAGGAATGGGCTCTCAACCCATCAGGCACCAACGTGAAGATGTTTTTAATCCCTCCGGTTGTCTGCCTCATGGCAGGTGCCCTCATCATTCCTACCATCTTGTTTGTGATCTTCTCTAGGTTTAGCATCCGTCAGGAAACAAGGTACATGCTGCTGGGAAATGCCCTGCTTTCTGATCTGGTCTACCTCGTGTTCTACACCCTGTCAGCTGCTCTCCATGCAGCCCGTGTACATCTCCCAAAGGAAGCCTGCGTCCTCTTACTGTTCTTGCTGGCGGTGGCTTACTGTGGAGGATTGTTCACAGCTGCTGCAATAGTCTTGGACACGTACATAGCTATTTTGTTCCCTTTGCGCTACATCGCTATTTTGCCTCCTTCACGAACGAAAAAAATCATTGTGTTACTGTGGATGTGTTCTGGGGCTTTCCCCGGGATCTTCTTCTTGGTGCTATCCAGCACTCACGGCTTTGCGCCCTGCGTCCTGGAAACGTGCTCGGTTCCGGTGATACTCATATTAACTCTGAACGGGACTGATGTTGTGAAACTCTGTTTCTGGCTTGCTGCCACAGTTATCTTTCTCTGCTTGTCTCTAATATTTTGTTGCTATGCTATTTTGTATTTTAAAACCAAACAGTTGGGGATATGGGAGGGCATCTGCTCCAGAGCCAGTGTAACGTTCTTGATGCACAACACTGTGTTGTTTTTTTACTTCTTTCCACTCTTGGCTCTTATTGTAGAATCATTCTTGTGCATCAACGTTGTCATCAGACTGCAGACAGGAATCTGGGTCTCCCTGACAGTCTGCAATGTCCTGATGATTCTGCCTAAGGTTTTGTTCCCTTTTCTGTATGGGCTTCGGTACAGAGAGATCGCAGGACCTCTCAAATCCATTGTCAGAAGGAAGCATCTTCGCGTGTGTCGCCAGCTCCATCACCATCCTGAGCCAGTGCAGAGCACAGCCACAGCAGAGGAATTCTCCTTACCTCCATAGCATGCAAGTGTGATGGACATCACCCAGCTTCCAAAGAGGTGCTCTGAAGAAGTAGTGACCAACCCATGTCAGAGAAGACATGGGTTGATCGTTCTGTCTCCTTGGTGCCAGAAGGTCGCAGATCTTTCATCACATCACAACTGAGAGCGCAGCAAATGCTGCCTGGATGAAGTTCTCAGCTTTGTTCCGATGTGGGAGGGCAGCGTCTTTTGGAGGAGATATTGATCATTTTCACCCACCCGTGGCAGATGCCTTTCTAGAAAATTAAAAATGACAAATAGATGGTGGAAAGCAAAGAGGTGCAAAGCAAAGGCGTTAACCACAGGTCTCTCGACAGCGTCACCTACAGCAGAAAGGATCCTTAACCAAACATGCTGTGAACGCAACAGCAATTTCTTTCACTCAGTGTTTTCTTGCCAGGTTGGTAGCCAATGTCCTGTTCTTTAAAGAGTAGACCTGGGAGGTGCCTCTGGAGACTGCTGTACTCGGCACAGTGCTGTGCTTCATCTCGTGCCACGTGCTAGCGTATCGGCTGCCTTACAGATTCTGTCTGACAATCAGCCAAACACCGAATTTTTGTAAAATCTCAGTCTGTTAGGCAGTCACCTTTGATCAGTGTCTGTTGGGCAGCGCAGCACACGCTGCTGTTGGGGAGTAACGGAGGTGGATGGGCTGCTGGGCGAGGGAGAAGGAGCCGGGAGCAGGGAGCGGGTGGCAGTTGAGCCGAGCGGGTGCCTGCAGGGACCCCGGGCAGCCCACAGCCACGATTCCCCGCCGGGTCCGTGCTGGCATGGCCAGGCTCAGGCTGAGCCCAGCAGCAGGGGCAGCAGGGGAGGAGCAGCGAGGGGCCAGGCTGGACATGGGTGTACCCATAGCATAGCTCAGACATAACCCGGGCTCTGGGACTGAGCGCAGATGCTGCTTCTGAGTCCCTGCCGAGGCATCTCCCAGCTCCGTCTCACACAAATCTGCTTTGCAGCCCGAGCCCAGGTTACAGCTGCGCCGTATCAGAGCTGGTGCTGGGTGCCACCAAACCCCTAGGAAGGTCAGGAGGAGAGGCTGCAGAGCCTGTGGATGTACTCAGGGGCAGGGAAGATGATGTCTTCTAAGAGCCTCTTCGGTTTTCCAGATCAGCCACCTGCCTACAGAAGATGAGTGAAATGTAGTTCTGATCTTCAAAGAACCAGAATGTCTTTAGACGTAAAAATCAGTGTGGGAAAGTTAAGTTGCAGTGCCGTTCTTTGGACTTGAAAAAAGAGCTTTTATATTCCTAAAGATAATATTTTTAGAGTTTGTTACTTTTCATACAAAAATACATTGGACTTTTTTTTTTAAAAAAAAGGCATTAGAAAATGGCCCCTGATTTCACTCTGGGCAGTATTTCCTTGTGTGCAGATTCTCTCCATCTTCTGTTTGCTTAAAGCGATACACAGAAAGTGCTGAATGTGGCCTTCGGGTATTTCACACTCATCTGAAGAATTCCACCAAGTGTGAGCCAGGAGGAGGTGGGTGTCTGGCTGCACGCGGTGGTTTTTGGCGATGAAGCCTGTTTGAGGAGCTCCTGCTTATCCCTTTCTCATTCCCCAGCCGCTTGCTTCTCTCCTGGCGTTGCAGTGTCTGCTCTCTCCAGTTTGCTGATACACCTGCCTCTGGGGCTGCAGATCAGAACTGTTCCTCCAGGGAGAAGTGGTGGTGGTTTCATTTTAACCAAGGGTATCCCAGTGGTCTGTTTTATAGTGTGTTCTGCAAACAGCTGTCAGCGCAGTTGAGGGGGGAAACAAATTCCAGTTCAGCGACGGGAATGAGCAGGGGCATCTCGGAGGCTTTGCTGCGAAGGGGCAGTAGTTCTATAAAAGCATCTTTAAGTTAAAATTATTGCAGCTGAATAAACTGTATTATTGTGTATTTGCTTTTACCATGGTTCTGTGCATCCCCTATTTTGACCCAAAGGAACATTAAATTCCTGAGTAATTGCTTTGTTTTCCAGAAAAATCCCCACATTTCTTCTCACTACTCTTCAATAAAAAAACGAGGACTTAAGAGTTGCTTTTCACTGGCTGCTTTTGCTTTTCTTCAAGACGAGTGTACCGTAGACACCCGGCACACAAGCCAGGTTTGTGTGAAGACTTTAGCTTCAGTCGAAAGCAGGGCTCTTCCGGAACCCCGGTGAGGATGGGGGAAGTGTCTGTATGCTTGGTCAGGTGCTTTCTGCTAAATCCCTGTGTCATACGGTGTGATCGAGAGTGGGAGAGGTACCTGGAACTCCCCAGGCGGGCCGCTTGCGTCCTGGGCCAAATCCTTACGCCAGTGCCCACTGGCAAAGATGCTGATAACTTACAGGTTGTTTCATCCATGTAAGATTCTTTCAAGCTTGATTACCTGAAGTTTACCTATATTGTAAATTTGCATGCTAAGTAGTAAAGATAGCTGTGTAAACAGTGTAAAGTAAGGTAGTTCTATATACAGCCATAGGTGACTCTGAGTAGCTGCCGGTTAACAGTACTTGATCTTCCTCCTAACTGCTGTCAATTATGAAGTTAGTCTCCAGGACAGACTCGGGTAGGATTATGTCGCCAGTTCTGGAACATTTTCTTACATACATATCCCCTGGATATCTTTAGAGACAGCCAGTAGTTTGGTAACATACAAAAGGACACGGAAAGAAGGAGGAAGCGAAGTGGTGATCGTGGCAAGTTTATGTGTCTGCAAAATCTGTCTACAGTGATATCATAAGGCTCAAGAAAAAAACCACTGCTTGTGAAAATTACCTTCAAAGAAAGAGGAATAAAATTGTCTTATTCGTGTCCTTGAAATTGTTCCCTAAAATGGGTGTTTGCATAGAAAAGATTTTAGCTGAACTGACATTAGTGAAGTTGAACAGGATTCTAAAAAGGTCATCTGCGTTCCGAGTTGATGATATTTTATTGATCAGCTTTAAGGTGGTTTGGCATTAGATAGGTAAGAGTTCTCAAGCGACTGCTTGTAGATAACTTTTTACCATGGAACATTACTGTGCTGCTTGGTACAAAAGCAGCAAGTTACAGCACGCGTGGCAGAAACGCACTGCAGCCCTGAATCATGTGCCTTTGGGGACTTCCCAAATCTGAATAGGACCAAAGGAGTCACCAGGGCAGCGTCCTATGATTCTTTTCATAAGCGTCTTGATTTTCGTCGTAAAGATTGTTAGGCTTCTTTATCTGCCAGACCCTCGTGGCTGTAGTGATTAGCAACCTTGTAAGGATGTCTCTAGATAAGCTCTGGAAATTCAAACTGAGAGTATTTACCAGAGCCCAGCTATCGACTTCTCCCAGGTCACGTAAGTGAACTTCTTGGATGTCACTGTGCCTGCCCAGCATTTTAATTTAAAGTGAAATGGAAACCAGTTGACTTTAACATGTGATTCGGCAGCTGGGGGCAGTAATCCTTTAATAAACTGCAATAGTATGAATCATTAAAGGTATTCTAATTTATAGCCTAAATACATTCCTGGTCAGTTTTTCCCCTCTTTTCTCATGCCAAGGCTGTCCCTTCGCGTAGCCCTGCTCTCTGCCCTCGCTCCGTCGGAGTGACCGTTGGAGTGACGGTGCGGTGACTGCTGTGAGCTGCAGAACGAAGGCAGCCAGACCTGCGTCCCGGCGCTGGGGCTGTGCCGTGCCGCGCGGGAGGGAGCAGGGAACCTGCGGCCAGGTCTGCGCCTCGAGCGAGATCGGTGTCGGTGTCACGGGGTACCAAGGATCTCCAGGCCGGTGAACAAGCACACAGCTTTGGACCTGGGGTTTGGTTCATTTGCAACGATTCGAGTAATTATTCAGTAAAACTAATTAACCTCCTGCAGTTTTAGTAATTATATCAGAGTATCTACCCCTGCTCCATCAGCTGGCTGTGTCGTTTTCTAAGGGAAGCTTGACACAGTAGCAGGTCAGAAGGAAACTGGCATTGCCTGGTTGCACTCGAGGCACCCCAAGAAGCCCAGGGCTGTGTCCCCGCGCCGGGGAACCGCAGCGGCTGCTCCCACGGGGAGTCGGCTGCTCTTCGCTTCGCTACCCGCTGGTTTTGTGCACCAAGATACGTGGTGTCCTCCGGGCAGAAACTGTGCTTGTGGCCGTTCCCAGTGGGAGGTGGGTACGTATGGCAGACGAGAGCGAGCCCGTGGTAGGAAAAGGAAATTACAAGTTTCCCTGAGATTTGATTTCTGCTGCCTCCTGTCTCCACCCCCACCTCGCTGCTGGTTATGGGGGGCACAGCACCACTAGTTCTTGCCGTTTTTTCACAAGCCTTGTGATATTTGGTGTCTTCGTAAAACTGCTGATCCCGACCGTTTTTGTTTTTCAGTTTGCTTCTAGTCCTTCAGATTGCAACATGAATCTGAAAGGTGCAAAGAGCAGGGAGGCAGATGAAAACAGCTCGTCCCGAACTGCGATTAAAACGTCAGGATTCTGGAGAGGTGCTCGCGAGTTAGGAGAGGGCAAGGAGCCGAGCTGCGGTTCTGCCGTCTCGTGTTTGTCAGCGAGGGATGGTCTGGCTCGAGCTTGCCCCAGGTCTGCAAGCGTGGCTGGGGAGCTGCCACGGGAGAGACAAGAGGCTGTTTTCTGTCTCTGATCTGTAGAGTTAAGAATTTGTATTTGGAAGTTTATTTGGACAACTGTTCCCCAACTCATTGGATTATTTTTCTCAAGAAAAAAAATACAAGTTTTGCTACTGATGTTGCAGGGAGAAAATCAGCAACCAGCTCCCGAGGGCCACTGTTTTTTAGAATGATTCCCAGTAGGAAGAACTGGTCAGCTTCAGCAGCCGCCAACATTAGTTTTGGGAACAGGTGAAGATACAGAAACGCAGCTCCTCAGGGGGAAAGGGAGAGCCCTCCCCGGTCGTCCACCTTCCCTGGCCCTGCAGACCAGCCAGCGCAGCTAGCCAAGGCAGAGTGGTAACTGTGCTTCCCAAAGACTTTGGA